ATTGTATAATTGAAACCAAAGCACAAAAAATTGTAAATCTACAACTTTAAAAAAAATAAAATAAAATAAAGGGGGAAAAAAAAGAAAAAAAAAAAAGAGTAATCTGTTAAAAATGATCCAAAGTTTTCCTTAGAGGAAAGTGCATAAAGATTGTTGTATCTCACCTTGGAGCCAAATAAATATATTTAATTGAGATTGGTTGCCTTCTACTTTAAACCCCATCAAATGTGGTGTGCTATTCTTGGTACATCAGTGGTGGTTGTAGAGTACGAGATGTTGCGGTTGCATGCTCCAGGAATTCTAAAATTTTAAATAGGGTGATACAGCTGAAGTTAAATGCATCTCTCCAGCTTGTTACTCTCTTCAGAGATTTATTTGTGAGTCTCTGGATCAAGGCTGTTAATGAGCTTATATGGTGCCCAGAGACAGTTCGTGGGCATGACTGCCAGGCTCCTGGAAGCACAGGGAGATGGGGGAAGGTGGCCCATTCATTCCTGACTCTGTGTGAGCTTGGAGATTCTGGTCACAAAACCCACATACCTGAGTTTTTCAGCTGATGTGTGGGGGGGTCTCTTACTGAGCCAGTGGAAATTGGCCATGAGCATGGTGGCAATTGGGCTCTGAAGACTTTTAGCTACAGGGGCTCTGTTGGAGTGAGTGATGGGCTCACCTGCCCCTCTCAATGCCCTGATGAATTCAGCCTGGCACAGGGTGTGGAGGCATCTCTGTGGCTTGTTACTCTCTTCTGAGATTTATTTGCCCCCCATGCTTTAAAAGTTATTCCTCTCCAATTGTTGATCTTTCTTCTGTGTCTCAGAGTAAAGAATGAACTGCAGAAAGGACTAGCATTTTGGAGTGTTTTTTGTTCTGTGCTGGAACAAAAGCCTATCACATAACTTTCCTGACATTAGCCCTAAAACAACTAACTTTGCCTTTCTGTGCTTTGATTTCCTTGGGGATAGTGAATGTAATTCCTACCCTCAAAGTTGTCAGGAAGGTTATGTAATAATGGCAGAACAAGCAGCTGTGATTGAGTCAAAGTAGTTTCTGATTTCCCCTTTGACCTGTTGGTTGATCCGCTGGATTCTATTTTGCATGAAACCTTACCATTAAAAATATTATAAACCACAGGGTCTAAAATAAAATTAGAAAAAAGAAGTTTCTCTGCATGTTTCCTAACCCATACAATTGAAATTCTTTCTGGGACCCTCTACCATAGTATAGAACACAACTAGGTACAGACCCAAATGCCCCATCTTCCAAAAGAAAATCCCAATGTACTCAGGATTAAGAATCGTAACAATAAGTGCATATGCATTGTCTTTGCAGATATTGCCTGAACTCATTTAGGTAAGCTCATTATTTACCATCAAAATTTTGGAAGGCGTTAGACATTTGGTGTTTCTGCTTCCTGTATGTTGGCTCTTTGAGCTATAATAATTTGGTTTATGCAGCTGATTTCTAATACTATTTATATTTTTAAAACTTAAGTTTTCCCTCAGAGCCAGGGAGACAGCTCAAAAGGCTTTGCATGCAGGAGACCTGAGTCTGATCCTCAGTACCACATAGTTTGCCTGGCACTACTGGGCATGCTTCCCTTTTTCCTTAACAGATTCATCTTTTGGTAGGACCTGGGGTCTCACATATGAGGCATGTCCTCTACTACTTTGAACTGCCCAGCCCCTTAATTATTTATCTTTATGGCTTGTTTTTATGTTCTCACTTTCTGCATTTCCCAGTACCTTTTCACCTTTCTCAGAGGCCTGGAAAAATCACCCCTTTCAGGAAGTCAAAATTAAGATCGAAGGACCCCCCCCCCCACTTGTTGACACTCCCCCCACCCCATCTCTTTTTTTAAGTTCCCTACTCAGTTCTCTAAAGGACTTTCCTTTGTGATCCTTTAAAGAAACCACACTGTCTCCTTCAAGGGATTGGCACTGTAACAGTTGAGGGTCCAAAGAGATTTGGAAGGGGTTGGGGTTCCAATACCACAGAGATAGAGCCCCTTTGTAAAGACCAAGAGGTCCAACAGTTTAAACAACTGTTCTGTGAGAAACTATCTTCCAAACGACACCCCTCACCCCCACCCCACAAGGTTCAGCAGGAATTGGTGGAAAACAACTCAGAGGAACAGAGGAAGTACAGCTGTTCCCTCTGAGGAGCGGGCGTGTGGGGGAAGCCAGGCCTAGGAAGAGGGGGTGTTCCCCGGGTGGTGACATACAGCATTCCTTTCACTTGAAGCATCCAAATCCAAGGAGCTGAAGTCTTCCCTGGGGAATATGACATAACCAGAGGCGGGAAGGCCTCACAAAAACAGACCAGTGTCCACACATCCTTCTCCAAAGGAAACCCCTTCCCATCCTGTGTGGGAGAACTCCCACGCCTGCCAAGGCTCAACCAGCGACCCACTTCCAGCCAAACAAATACCCAAAGACAGTGATCTGATAGGATGTGTTTATATTTACATGGTACATTTTAAAGCAATGGCTACATTGGTCATACATATTAGAAACCATAAAAAAAAGTTAAGAACTAAAATGTACATCATACACTTGTATATATATTTTTTACACAGAGGTAAAAAGGCTTATTATAAAAAAATCAATACAACAGGGTTTTTTTTTGTTGTTTTTTTTTTAAGTATACAGGTAAAGAATGAATTATGCTTCAGGCACTTTAATTTGTAATGAGCAAATAGCTTGGGGAGGGGGTACTCTTTGAAACAGAAAATCTTCTGGTTAATGTTTTGTTACCACAGATACAAAAATAAAATCTGAATAATTTCTCTCAAATGATTGACCTCAGTATGGCAAAGCTGACTGGGAAAATACTACACACTGTTCAGCTGCAGTGTGGTAATCAGAGACACGCTGTCTACATACATGTCCCCATGGCTATCCTTGTGCCCTTAACCGCTGCCTTCACAAACCAAGAAGTATCCGTGGAGTAAGATTCACTAGCATAACTCTTAGGGGTATAAGTGGGGGTTTGGTAATGACGCAGAGTAAAGGGAGAAAACACAGTAAGGACTGAAGAGAGATGACACAAAGAAGTGGCCAGGGTGTGTGTGTATTCTGTGAAATAAATAGGGGCACCTGAACTGAGGTCTACGAGAACATACATTAGTGTTGTGCTTTGTAGAGGAGACCTTGAGCGAGACCCTGAGGAAACACCTCGGGGGTGGCCTACGGGTGGGTACGACGAAGCTTGGAGGCTGGCTGAAGAGATTCTAGCTGTGCTCCCTGCTGGAAAGTGGCTTTCTCTCTTCCATTGCCAGCTTGTCGGCGCTCTTCTCCTTTTCCAAACTAGAAGGCCTAAACCAGTCTCTCCAACAAACGGAAACTGCTGCCAACTACCAGCTCAGCAGCGCACTGGATACTTAACACCAATGATCTGATATGAAAGTCCATGGGCTCTCCAACTAGCTGAAACCATTCCCATGAGGTAAACGTGGCTAGCACGCTTAGTATAATTGGTAGACCAGGGGAAAAATAAAAGTTCCTTTCCTTGAAGACAGATGTCCTGTGTGCAATAAAGAAGGGTGGGTGGTGTGGGGAGAGGGATCAGGCCGTGCCCTGGCTCACAGCCACCAAGGAACGAACAGCCGGTGGGAGAACCTGTCCACGGCGTCTGATTGTACTCTGCTAGGTACAAGGAACCACTCTTCAATTCCATGTGAAATAAGATTTGGCTATTTCTGGCAATATATTAGAAAAATACTCTTCTCCAGCTAGTTGGAGGCCCACTGAGTGGCTCGGCACCGGAAGACCCAGTCTGCCGAACCAATCCCTGTAGGTCTGGCCCGGCTGCGAACAAAGACACTTAGGCTTTGGAAGAGTTTTTACATATGGCCTTATTTTTTCCCAAGTATAAATTGATGAATTTGGTAATGTGAACTTGAGTCTGAGAGGAAAACAAAACACAACCCCCCCTACCCCCCCCCCCCCCACCAAATAAAATGCAACCCACTACTCTTCAAATGTATGACATTTAAATTTTTCCCTGGTTAATAGAAAACAGCCAGTGTCAGGAGACAAAAAACCAAAACCGAAACCTCTCGTCGTTTTATGTACCCACAACCTTGTGTTAGGAGAACACTGGTTAGTGTGTGAAGAGACTATTTGGTTTGCAGAATAATGAGCAGAATTTCTTAACCTCATTAGCATTTTCTTCTACTATTGCTAAACTTTTAGAAGAGATGGTGATACCATTTGAAAAAGTTCTACTTTGAGGGGAAGGGTCACTGGGGAGGATCAGAGAATCCCGCAATTCCCTTTCTAGACCTGATCCAAAAGGACACTAGGCTGGTTAAGGAACTGTCCTGATTCTCACAAGTTAAGGCTCAATTCTCTGTAGTTTTCCAGGTGATGAGTGTGGCTTCGGTGAAGAACCAGCAGCTCTGGGAAGGGGTGGGGTGGGCAGAAAAGGACAAAGTATTCAGAGAGAAACTGTAGCTTCCAGGGGAAATCTGGCTTTGGGAAAGATGGAGTGATCCTGTTTGGAGGAGGGGTGGTGGTGGAGGGTGGTTAGGAGTTTGTGTAGTAGCTCTCCTCCTATAGGTAAGAACTGGCTGCATGCTAAAATACTTGCGGTAGGATTTCACCATTCTAACATCACATTTTCACAGGAATCAGGTGTTCCTTAGCAACAGGCAAGCAGATTACCCAAGAGAAAGAGGGTCTTCTCGCTCTTGGAAACATCCCCACTTCTAAGAACCCACCCCAAACCATCGGCTGTGACTGCAGGCGCTTTGAAGTGGAAAGCGGGTGGGGAGGGAAGACGGGAATTCAACATGTGTAGAAGACAGCTCGATTACAGATTGTTAGTTGTAAGAGTCTGTGGAAGGTTCTTTTCCTTAGAACACTGTGTGTGTGTGTGTGTGTGTGTGTGTGTGTGTGTGTGTGTGTGTGTCTGATGGGAGAGGTGGGGAGTGCAGAATCCGCCAGGCGGATTCCCCAGGCTGGGACGGCGCACCATTGGGAGGGAGGATGGAAGGGGGGGGCGGCGGGGGCGAGGGGGGAAGGGGAGTATGCAGGAGACAAGTGCCCTCGTGGCTGTGGCTGGGGAGGAAGACGGGGGTCACACGGCCGCTTTGTGCTTCCCGCCACAGCACCGGCACATGACCCCGCAGTTGTAGCAGGCGCGCAGGGGCAGGTAACAGCACATACAGGGGGCCAGGAACGACAAGGCGATAAGAGCCATCCACCGGAGGCAAAACTTCTCGTCGCTGGTGTCGCACGAGCAGGGGTCTGTATAGTCGCCCTCGGGGTCCGACATACAGTGATAGAGCATGCTGTCCGCGCACCACATACAGCTCACGCGGCGGATGCAAGTCCTCACGGCGTCGGGCGCGTCCTGACAGTGGCCCCTGCGGTTCTCCTCGTGGTTGAACATGTCCCTGCAGTACTCGCACCGCGAGCGCTCCCCGTCCTCCTTGCGGCCCCGGCTCTTGCCCCGTGGCGGCTGCGTCTTGATCACGCCGCCCCCGCGGCCCTTGGGGTCCTCGCCCAGGCCAAAGTCCGAGGAGTCCACGTAGGGGTAGTTGTAGTCGTGCTTGGGGATCTCGCCCTTGGCGAAGCGCACGTACGAGTCCGCGTCGTCCGCCGTGTCCAGGTACTTGCCGCGCACGGGCGCGTGCCGGTAATCCTCGTAGCCCGTCATCCAGAGCTTCTCCCGGGGGTTGATGCGCACGATCTCCTCATCGTCGTCGGGGAAGCTCACCTGGCGGTAGGGCCTCTGCTGCCCGAGAAAAGGGAGACATTGGTGTGGCGGCTGCAAAATCAATACATACTCCCACTCCCGCGCCCCACAATACACACACCTTCACCTTGAAAACCTTATCAAAAAAGATCACAACAGAACACCAAGGGCTGGGGGGTGGGGGGTTGGGAGAGGGGGAGAGCTTAATGATGATTTTAAGTCCACTCGCAACCTATGCCTGGGTCAGGAAGTAGTTTAATGGCCAGAGACAGTGATCTCCCCTTTTTTGCAGAAGCATGACCAGCTGCCCAGGCCTGCGTGCAGCTCCAAAGATTCCAGCCTGCATAGCATGCTACCTCCTCCACCTCCCTTCATTCACCTCCCGCCTCCACAGGTGAGGTGAGGCAAGGCGAGGGTTCTGCTGCTCTCTGGAGGCTTAGTTTCCCCGCAGTTTGGAAGAAACTGAGAACAGTTCCCCACCTTCCCGGCAGAGGAGAGCTGGAGGATGTGCATGTGAAGGGAGGCACCTTAGTGTCTATCATGTTAATAAAGGTAAAGCATGTTCATTCTCTGCACATATCACACACAGAGGACCTGTGTAAAACACGCTCTCACCGAGGGGGGGTTCATACTCAGAAAAGAAAAAGGGGGTTTTAGGGACTATAAGGCTCACAAGGAAGGATCAGTGGCTGGGAGATGAGTGTCTCTGAGCTGGAAAGGGAAGGTGTGCAGGTGTGGAGGTGGGCAGGCTGGATTTGAATCCTGCCAGTCAGGGTCTCATGTGTGGTGGGTAGAGTTGCCATCAGCCCAGGCAGGAGGTGCCCAGAGCCTTTCCCCAGACCCCCTTCTCCTAGCCCTCTTACTCAGCCTGCAAGATTCTTTAGGGGGAAAGAATTGCTTCTGCAGGTGGTTCTGCTCTGGTGAGTAGGCACCTTGGTCCTGAGTGGCAGGCACTAAAGAAATGTCTGTTGGTTTGATAGAGATGCCGTGAGCAGCCTTGACAGGACATCTCAGTTGCTAGGGCCAGAAGGCCTTCTAAAGGGCGCGCAGCTTGGCTGAGTGAACTCTCAAGTAAAATTCAGACTACGGGATTTACCAGTAGCTGCTCAGTGAGGATGGAGAGAAAGAATGGAGACAGCAGCCTGGGCTCTGAGGTGTTTGCTATCTGTGGTCATCCTCCTCCTCCTCCTTCCTCCTCATGTTACAGACGTTATCACTCAGTCATGAGACTTCCCCTCACTTCCCACCAGGCCAGAAGCTCCCACGGGGGTGAGAGGGGGCAGGGACCATGTCTGACACACTTTGACCTAATTTATCAGACTCTCGACATCAGAGGTTCTTGAACATGGGAAAATCACAATCCTATGGGATTAAAAAAATGTCTGAGGACTTGACACAGGCTGTGCTACTTTTTTAATTTAGCAAATTATGGAGAGTAAAAAAGGCATACCCCATCTAGTATTAACCATAATGTAATTTTATTTTATTATATATATATTTTGTGTGTGTGTGTGGGGGGGTACTGGGCCACACCCAGTAGTGCCTCAAGGCTTACTCCTAGCTCCGTACTTAGGGAGCACTCCTGGAAACGCTTTGGAGACCATATGGTGTACCAAGGATTGAATCTGGGTGGACCATATGCAAACCAAGCACCCTGCTACCTGTACTATCTCTCTGGCCTCCATAAAGTAATTTTCAAAATGAACATTTTAATGTCCAAACACTAGGAGGCATCCATAAAAATTACTTTTAAACAGTCATGGAAAGCTTTATGCTGAAGTTAAATAAAACTGTGGGCTGGAGTACTTAGTGTGATGCCTGGCACACGTGTTCCCCCAAGACTACCAGGAGTGACCCCCAGACATGGAACCAGAAGTAGTCTCTAAGCACCACCAGGTGTGGCCCTGTAACCAAAAGCCAAACTGCTGTGCCCCCTTTTTATTTAGAGCAGCTTGGTGGTCACGTCCTTTCCCCAGGGGCACCCGTCTGTGTCCCCTATGTTGGGAGCCAGCTTGACAGGGCATCTCAATTGCCCAGGCAGGAAGGCTCTGCATACCTGCTCAGCAATTTCTGGGAGTTACGGAATCAGACGGCCCCTCTGTCTCCTGGAGCAAGCCCAGGCTGGCGGTCCAGGATGCCCTGCTGGAGCCAGTATGAGGATCCCTCGGTCCCCAGCCTGGCGGGGTGTGCCTGTCCAACGCCCCCAGGAAGAGGCCATATAAGGGCCTGAGAGAGGCCTGAGGTCAAGTCTCTTTCTGCCAAGAACCCCATCCCTCACCTCCGCCTTCTCTTCTACACCGAGCGTCAAAGGCCTGCTTTGTGAGGTGGTGCTGTCATGAGGATTAAGTAAAATGACTAGATTGATTTGACAAAGGAAGGGACCTGATGAAGGGTGAGGTGCCCACCCCTTGAGTAGGGGGTGCAGGTATGCCAGAGGAGCGCTGTCGGGGCATCTGGCTTGGCAGGAGGGCAAGGAGGCTGGGCCAGAGCTGGAACCATCTGCTGACGAGACCTCAGAGGAGCGGGGTGTGGCTCACCTGTTCGAGGTGATAGTGGTCCGTGGGGTACGGGTCATGGAGGTGACCCATGGTATAAATTCTCCGGTGCTCACAGGATGTGGGAGAAGAGATTGTCCGAGTTGGTTGTTCCCTCTTCTGAGAAGAATTTGAAGAACTGTCTGTAGCTGTCTGTGTGGAGGGAGGCAACCATAAAGAGTCGATGAAACATAAGTTTACAAAACCTCACACCAGACCCTTGCAGGCCTTCTACCCTCACTTGTGGCCTATTGCCGGACTTCCCCAAATCTGTAGTTTATCCTGGCACTGAAGGACAGGCAGAGGAGTCCTGCCACCAGACCTGGGAAAGCTGGCTTTGTTTTCTAAAATGTTGGAGTAGCGGCCAGGCTTGGTGGGAGAGCCCCTACAACCAGGCCTCCCGTGTTCCGCATCTCGGTCTGCTCAGGACTCTGTGGCCCCAGGGGAAGGGCAAGCAGGGGTGGAGGGGTGATATAGATAAAAACAAGCAAAAATTAAACTCAATGCTTGTACATGGGGGGTCGATTCCTGTTTCAGAGAGAGGAAAACCATTAGTGTATCAGGGGTACCAATTTTCCAGGTGGAAATATTGTATGTCTGAAAGCACAGTCAAAGAGGAGAAATGGGAGACCCTTTACTGTGCCCATCCTGACATGCATGGGAAGTGGGCATCCCATACTCCAGCACTCCAGACTGGCCCTGCCTACGGGGGGCCGCTGGGTGGACCACAGGGTCACAGGAACAGTGGGAGCACTTGCTCTGCTGTGCACAGGAGAGAAGGAACAGGTTCTGCACACAGTCTCTTGCACCCCCCAACCCCCTGCCCCCGGGTGAGCGCCAGGAGTGCTGCAAGAGGGCAGAACTGGGGACTGGTGGTGAAGTGCCCCCCCCCCCCCCAGGGGATGAACCCTGGGCTGTGGCCTGACTCACCTCAGCACCAGTTTTCCCCAGAAACCCAAAGCGGACCGTTCCTATTTGGCAGGCAGGCGAGGCACTAGGTGCTAAGAGTGCTACTGCCATTGACTGTGATGGAGAGTTGCGTATTCCCAGACCTCCCAAATAACAAACAAACTCATACCAAACAGAAATATTTTACTGTTAGACCCTGGAAAAACCCCATTACAAAGACTCCCCCACCTTTCCATGTCTCTTTGTTGGGGGGTACCACCTCCCTCTTTTAACACGGGGCCGGCAACTGCAGAACCATTTTGCCAACACCCTCTCACTGTCTACTACTGCGAGTTTGTGCCAGGCCCTGGCTGCGTGTGAGCAGGATGTAGGTGACCCGCTGCCACAGTCACACACAGAGACGAGGGAGCCCGCTGCACGCACACACACTGTGCTGAGCCGGGCCCCGGGTCTCAGTTCTCCCCCAAGCATTCTGGGGCCTGCTCTGAGGTGAACCACGTCCAACTTACCCAGGTAAACTGTGTGCTCAAGTGCTATCAAACCCAGGGTGCGATAAGGGCGCCTGGCATGCATTGCAAGGGTTCTACAGCTCTCAATAAATACCTTCGGGATGAGAGCAGTGTGATTCAAATCTCAAGGGTTAAATGCTTATCCGACACCCAGATGACAATCACCCTGGAGGTTCCAGCTCCACACGTACTGAACTCGGGAAACACGCTTGAGGCTTAGCGCTCAGAAGCCCCGTCCAGATATCAAGGTCATCTGCGCGTTAGTCATCTGTTCTCCCCAATCCACCCTATTTTCTGTGGCCCAGGCCTCGGGGAGCAGTGTGTAAAGTCTTCCTGAGAAAAGCGTCACGCCCAGTGAGTGCCAGTATTCATTAACCCATCGATCAGAAATGCCACCTGTGTGGTCCTCCCCAATCTCATCAGCCTTGTCCCACAGTGCAGGGGAAAAGGGCATCGCCTCTTGGATCCCACACACGTGCCAGAACAAGGCCTGGGAAGGCCTTGCAGTGCCTCTTATCAGCTCATGACAAATCTGTACAAAGGAGCAGAAGCACAGGAAGCTGAGGCATGCCCCAGGCTCACCACCTCCCGTGGGTAGAGCTGAGGACACAGCCCGGCCCAGCCCATGGTCTTCCACACCCCTACGACTCTGCGTCTGCCTGAACCTGGGAAGGAGAGCGTGCAAGAGCATGTTAGAAGCCCTGGCTTATTTAGGTTTAGAGGATCAGGCAATGTTATTTATTGGAGGGAGGCTGGGGGTTTGGGCATGTACTCCAGCTTGTTGAGCTATTTCCCTGGCCTCCAGAAAACCTTGCAGAGGTCTAAGTGTGACCTATAAAAGGAATGTGCTGTCAGGACATAGACAAGAAAATTGTAAGGAAAAAAAAATCTCCCTTTACCCCTATGCAGGTCTGAACTGGTTGTTCCACAAATCTGTCTCTGGTTTAAGCCGAGGCCATAGGAAAGTGAAGTAGGTTGTGCATGTGTGTGTGTGTGTGTGCACGCACATGCACGCGCGCACACACACACACACACACACACACCACACAAACAGGCCAAGATCCCTGGACAAGCATTATTAGTCCCTGCTGATAACAGCAACAGCCTGCCAGTCAGATATGGCTGCTGACCTGTAGAATAACATTGCCACAGGGAGCTCAGGTTTATCTGGTTACACCCATCACAGTGCTCCCAAGTCACTCCCATTCTTCTGTTTATCTGTAAACTCTTCTCTGTACTCTCCTCCCCAGCCAGTTAATCACCTTTTCTCCCTAATCAGATTCTGTTAGCTTGTAAGATCAGATCCTTCTAAGGACACTGAACTTGTAAGTTATGTCCTCTGCATAGTTTACCTTAAAGCAATGTCCTTTTTGTATGGACACAGGAGGACAGTTAATATTATGCTTTGCAACTTGGGAGTTGATTCACTCCGAATAATATTTACTCCTGGGCATCTGCTTTCTTGACTCAGCTGCCCTTTGTTCCCAGCACCCCAAAAGCAGGGTCCCGATGAGGGACTGAATGGACCCAGGGCAAGCTATGCGCTACCCCGGCATCGAAATGAGCCAGGCTGAAGCACCACGATACTCAACTATAAGTTGAGGGCATGATCATGGACAAATGTTGTCATGATCCAAAAGTAAGTAACGACGAGACTAGGACCCTGCTGGGCTAGGAAGACTAACTTGGCCTGAGGACTGTAATATATATATATATCAGAATATATAGTGAGATGTCCTCAGGAAGAACCAACTGTAAGTTTATCTCTTACTGTGCTCATACAGAATGATATTGCTAGAAATATTAGAAGTAGACTTACTACAACTATTTAGATTACTAGCTGAGGAAAGAATACACCCTTGTTGGGATCCCACCCTTGAGCAGATCTCCTAGTAATCTGGAATAAATCTCTTTATATATATATATATATATATTTTTTTTTTATTAGTGAAACACCATGAGGTACAGTTGTAGATTTACAAATTTTTGTGCTTGGATCTCGGTCATACCACGATCAAATACCCATCCCTCCACCAGTGCCCATTTCCCACCACCAGGATAATATCCCTCCCCCCCCATCCTCCCATCCCCCCATCCCCCCCTGCCACTGTGGCAGGGCATTCCCTTTTGTTTTCTCTCTCCTCCTGGGTGTTGTGATCAGTCAAAGAGGCATTGAGTGGCGAACATGTTCAGTCCAGTCTACTTTCAACCTGCATCTCCCCTCCTGGGAGGATCCTCCAAACACCCTCCACTTGGTGTTCCCCTTTCTATCTGAATTGTCCTTTCCCCTAGAATACCCAGCTGGCCTCTAAGTTATGGAGTAATTCTCCTGGTGTTGCTCTCAGCTGGAATAAATCTCTTTAGATGAGATTTAATCCTTGAGTTAATCTCCTCAAGGAGTGGTCTTACCTCTCTTTGCTGATTTGTTAATGTTCAACCCACTTTTGTGTCACCACCCTACGTGATTGCTATATAAACTAAGACTGTAAGAGCGAAGGGGGCTTGGGCTCAAGAGAGCAGAGACTGAGGCTCAGGCTGAGGCTCGGGCAGAGGCTCAAACTGAGGCACGGGCTCAGGCTCGGGAGCTTGGGCTCCGGAGGGCAGAATCAGAGGTAAGAGTGAAGATTGGAATAAACTACAATTGATACCAATCAGCCTGGCCCTCGTTCACTGCTTCGCCTGCCCATCACCATCGACCTCCCTGGAGTGGGGAGAAACGGCTCGAGACTGCCGAACGTGGGTGGCGGGAGAGATAGAGTGTGGCAGGATCTTCTGAAAACACACACTGACCCACCTTGCTCTTTGGTGGGTGTCACTGAACTGTTGGGGATTGAGAAAAAACAGCAGAGACTCCTGTGGCCAGTCAGTACTGAGGGACCTCAGACTCCTAGAGGGGTGGCTTCACCGTCACTGGCTTCCCCAGAAAGCAGTCAGAGCAGTCTTTCACACCACCTGCCCTGCCTTTGAAGACAGACCTGCCCATGTGACAAAGCTATCTGTTGATAAGACTGCAACGGGGGCTGGAGGAACACTGCTGGGGCCTAGGGAGCCTGCCTTGCATGGAAACAGTCATGAGTCCAACTCCCTGGTGCCTCAGATGCCTCCTAGCCTGAGCCTGGCAGATCTGTTATCTGCAGCGCCCCCAATTTCCAGAAGGGAAATGTGACCTCTAGCGAGCATGTGAGTGAGCATCAATGACTCCAGCAAGTGTCACAAACTAATGTGCAACCCTCTAGTGAGCATCACATCCAGGTGTGTGTGACACCTCTGGTTATCACAACACCATTAACAACAATAAAGGGAGGGAATAAGAAACAATGAAGAACAAAATCACCTGGCGGGGGTGGGGGAGTCTGCAACCCAATGCAAGGCACTGGACAAAATCACAATGGGGTACGTGTACCGCATTGAGAGCACACCTGTATTCTCTCTCCACTCAGGCAGATTGAATTCAGATGAAATGGTGAGATTTTAGTCAAGTTAAAGCCCACTTTTATACATATGTAAAATGGAGATAAATCTTCTAAAGGGTTACTAGAAAATGACACAGATCTGAGAGGGAGAGGGAGAGGGATAAAGAGAAGGAGACGGAGAGGGAGAGAGAGGAGAGGGACGGAGAGGGAGAGAGTTTAAAGTTGTTTGCCTTGATTGTGGCTGACCCTGGTTGGATTCCTGGCACCGATATGGTACCTGGAACATCGCCAGGACTGAGTCCTAAGCACACAGCTAGGAATA